TATATATTATTTTATATATTATTTTATATATAGAGAGTGTGTGTGAGTGTGTGTGTGAGAATGTTAGGTCCTGAGCACTTCACCCACTGGTGATACGGAGTTAAAGGTAGCTGTATGGTACTTCCAGGTCTTGAGTCTGTGATTATAGCCTAAGGCTGCAGTGGCTCTGTGGAAAAAAATTACAACTCAGAAGTAATTAGAGAATTATTTGGCTATTTTGGTGCCAACATTGTACCTTAGAAGGTGTGAAATGATCCATTGTCACCAATAATCAATGATTGAATGGTTACTTGCTGATACTTGTGATCTACACTAATGATTGAACCAAAATGGTTGGGCTGCAGTAATCTAATGTTCGCTTAAGCAAACAGCACAAGGTTTGGATGTGTAATGTACTTTAGACATCTTCCAAGTCCAAAGGAACAATCATACTTGCTAGTTCTGAAATTGAGTCAGTATGTGACACTAGATACCCAAACCTAAATACAACAACTTCTTTATATAAGTCTGCAGATGTCCTTCAAAAAAATTTTGGATTTTTTATTTTGTTGGTTTTGGAGGGTTTTTTGTATTTAGTTTTGATTGGTGTTTTTAGGAGGGTGGGTGTTTTGCATGAGCTGATTTTTGGTAGGTTGAGGTGGTGTTTTAACATGAATACACTTGACTCAGGTAATGGTTTTAAGTTGTTACGGTTTTAAATTGTTAGAGGACAAATTTTTACGAGGCAAAGAGGGGACCAAAATTATCATGACATCTTAATTCATAGATATTTACAAGACTATTACTGCCTGGGGTGGAACTCTAAGCCACTAAAATAGTTGAGAATAGCCTTAGTTAACAGCCTAGAGACTGTGACAAAATCAACTTCATGTCCTGAAATGCCTTTCTCTCCTCTTTTTTTTTTTTTACCCTGTATAGATACACCCAGTATCACAGCTAAGCTAATTAATGAACAGAAGGAAGATAAAGAAAAAAAGAACTATGAAGAAAAAGAAAAAGTTAAAGCAGAAAATGGATTTCAGGATAATTATAGTGTTGTTGTTGCTTCTGGTATGTTTTTTTTTTTTCCCCCCCTATCTTCTGAAAAATTGACCTTTCAGATATTAGGAGGCAAGGTGGGTGGAATCATATCTACCAACAATTCTTTTTATTACTAATGATGGCTAGAAAAACTGTAGTGCCCAATTTAATCTAACTGGCTGTTAGGCAGCAAAGATTGGTTCCTGGTAGAATTGCTGCCTCTAGTGGGTTATATACTTTGACAAATTTGTACCTAAATGTGTGTGTCAGTGATATGTTGTGGATGCTGTTGCTAGTGCATTTTACAGGATTTTGTAGAGACGTACCTGGAGCTTGCATTATATGGCAATACATTAGTATTTGTGTACTATTACTGTGGTGTGGGTATCACTGCCTCTACCTTTTGGCAGTGGTTGATGCATCAGAGTTTGATCACCTACTCCCGCAATATGCTTTGGAAATAAATGGGTTCATATACTTTGCATAACAACTGGTGGTACTCTGCTAAAAAATGTCAGATGGAGATGGAAGCGTAAACCCATGTTATTCCACTTGGAAACCACACATACAGAATTTTCTTCCAACACATTAGCCTTCTAAAAACTAATGTGAAGATGCTTCTGAAATCATTCATGTAAAACCTTCTCCTCCAAAACTGCTGTGGAGGTTATAGATTGAAGGTAGTAATTTTGCAGTGGTACAAGAAGATTACAGTTCAGATGATGGCTGTGGAGATCATTAGTCTTTCGGTTTGAAGTTCTAGTGTGTTTGTGAGAGAGACATTAGTGAACTTCAAAGGGCCTTTTTCCTATCTAGCTTTCCCCCTTCATTGAGATACCTCAATTTCATTTACACTTCATGAAGCATGAAGAAGAGATGCTGACTTCCTTTGAATTCTGGCACCAATATTTCTTAAGCTTTTTATTTCAGGTTTTTAGATGTAAATGTAACTCTAAACTCAAATATTGAATAGGGCAGCAGTTTCATGGATCTTGGTATACATTTGAAGCAACACAACTTATTGTTAATTACAGCATCTTTATCTGGAAAGATATTTGCAGTAGGTGCCACTTAAACAGAGTAATCATGTTTTGATAAGATGTAAAAATATTAATAGATCCAAGTGAAGGGTTAAAACATGAATAAAGAATCTGGGAAGAAAAAAAGTAATATACCAATCTTGAAGATAGGGGATAGCATAGTCAGCCATGTCTCATCCCTGATCATACTGCCTAATACAGCCCATTCTCTATTTAGAAAGAAGTAGACTTAAGTTTTTCCTTCTTTTTGCTTGTATTTTTTTCCATTTGAGTAAAACAGTTTAAATGGAAACTTAATTAATTTGCATTTGTTTTTACAACCTGTTTGTGAAATCTTTTCTTATTTTGTCTTTATCTTTTTACATATTCTGGGTTTTTTTAATGTGTCCTCAGAGCCTCATGCAGACAGTATTTAACTTGTTTTCTGTTGGTAAAATTATTTAAAAGAGGGTAGAGATGGTATTTGGAGCCTGATCTTCCCGAGACAAGCTAGTTTACTGGAGAATGTGTTGCATGTTACAGCTGCTCCTACTGATCAGCTGAAACCAGAGTGTGTTACAGCATTTTGGGTGTGGATGTTCTTAGTTTTCCAGCTGCTCTTGACTGATTATGAGGCAGTAGTTGTATGTTGTATGTCTTTGTATATGGATGTGCTGAATTTCTTACTTGGTCACTCCCCTGCATAGAAGGGTACATGATAGTAGTATAGTATCACTGTACCTTAAGTCAACCTAAGTTATCCCAAAATATGGCAATCTTGCTATAGAAGCTCAGTAAGCTTTTGTGTTCCTGTTCTGCCTTTTAATATTCATGTAGTGCTTAAAGGTTTTGACCTAGGCAACTTGAAAAGCATGTTTAAAGACACCTGTCATCACATGTGCTATTGTCAGTACTGCAGCTGAAGTCATGTTCATAGGCCAGACAAGCAGTTGTTATCTATTGTTTACCTGCTGAAATGTCTTGTCAGTTTAGAAATTTTTGCCTTCCTTGTTTTCAATTGAAAAAATAACCCCCATGTAGGGCCTATTGCTAGACAAGCTCTTTATCTAAGCTTACAAGCAGAATCAGAATATTTTTTGCTTTTTTTTTTATGGATTATATGATCTAGTACAGCTACAGTTTGGTTGATGTTTGGGACTCAGGAGGATGCACAGCCTTGTAAATGTAAAAATACTAGGATTATATCCATACATCTTTTATACATGAATGTTATTCTGATATTTAATTTGCCAGTGCTGAAAAGTTTTACTTTTTTGCTATCATTAAAGGTATTGAGTACATTGCATCTTGGCTAGCTGAAGTTACTAAATACCATAATGACTTTGAATTTTTTATTTCTGTACTAGGTTTGAAATCTCAGTCAAAAAGAGCTGTTTCATCCACCCCTCCACGTCCACCATCAAGGCGAGGAAGAGTGATGGCAGATAAAGTAGGTACCTCTTCCACAGGTGGAGAATCTTCCAGCAAGACCATTAGTGTTCCAGTTTTTCATCTATACCATAAACTTCTACCAGGTAACACTAATAACTGTTTTTAAACTTCAAAATTACAGTCTTTTTCAGTGGCTGATGTGTCATCAGAAAGTAGATGTAATGCAAATGGACATCTTTATCTTTCTATTGAGCATCTTGAAGTGTAGAGCCCTTCTGGGTTGTGTAACAATTTTCAACTGGAAGTAGAGCATTATAATGTCACAGTGGCTTGACAAAAAGAATAATGCTGAGCTTCCTTGAAGTTTAGTTCCTTGTTCCTAGCCAAAATCTCAAAAACATTTCTGCTTTCACTCAGAAATAAAAGGGGGGTGAGTCTGTAAGGTAATTTGCATTTTCTTTGACCTGCACAAGGCCCTCTTATTTTTATGTTCTGAGTGGGCAGCCAGCTTGCATTGCTCTCTGGAAGATTGATTTGCCAGTTCAGGAGTATTCTTGAATTCCATAATAATTGTGTTTTCAAAAACAGCGTGTCTTAAGCAGTTAGTCATGTTTTAGATATAGCAGATATGTACTCACTTTTTATCAGCTATCTGGACAAAGCTGGTGGCAATGTGATAGTTGGGGCATAGAGGGAGATCTCTCTCCTATAGAAAGAGATTGGTGTGACTGGAATTCTCAACCTTAGAACAGGAATAAAGAACAGGAACATGGGTGAGATGCTTTAATATTATGTGGAAGAGTTTCTTACTTGCTTTATAGTATAAAAACAAGGAATCAGCTAATGAAATTATATGGTAAACTTCTGATCAAAGTCATTTTCACCCAATGGGCTCTCGGCACAGACCTGCCTTAGGGAATGTTGGTATAGTTCTCTGATACTTGGTTCCAAACTGATGGGGCCCCTTTTCCCAAGAGAACAAATGTTAAAATTAAAGTCTTGGTTTAGAGCCGGATAATATTTAGTCTACTTGGCATCTTTGGTACAAGTAATGAACAGCACCTGGACATGTATGTTAAAATAACCCAATCATTTTTTTTCTCTGACTCAATGACATTTTTGTTTAGGCCAACCGTTACCAGCTGAAATGACACTTGCCCAGCTCCTGACTCTGCTGTATGACCGTAAACTCCCTCAAGGATACCGATCAATAGATTTGACAGTTAAGCTTGGTTCGAAAGTCATCTCAGATCCAAGTTTATCAAAAACAGACTCATTTAAACGTCTTCACACAGAAAAAGGTAAGTGCTGTTACCTTTCAGTATCTTCCTTTTTAAAATTTGAATTTTTATTTTTTTACTTTGAAGAAAAATAGTTTTGATTTTCTTCGTAAGAAACAGCAGCTTTCTGTATTTTCGTGGATTATGTTCCTGAGCCATTCTCTACAAGACAAGTGCTAAACTTTGTGGTAAAGGAACAAATTCATTGCCTGTCTTTAGATTGTATCTATAAGATGCACCAATATGGTTGTTCTGCTTTCATGTATCTTCATCGTATATATGATTATATGATTGTATTGATATCATGTATTTTATTTCTTGACAAGTATACCACTTCTGTGGTAAGTGTGCTGATAACCAGAGCAGATAAACTACTGCCGGAGCTGTTTGAAACCATATGAGTTATAGAAGCCTGTGAAATTTTTTATTGCAGCAACTTAGGTACATAAATATTTCTTTGAAAATGGGAATTATTCTCAAGCCCAGCTAAGCAGAAATTTTAACGCTAGCTTTTAAAAATAATATTTTTAACGTTTTCTAGTATGGTCTGTTTCTTGCAAAGGTTTTTTCTAATTGCTTGCTCTTTACTTACTTACAGCTCCTCCCTCCCCTTTACCCCAGCACTATATCCCAGGAACCTGTTTTGAAATATTTTGATATCATTCCTTTAGGGAAGGACTTAGAGGAATGGGACCTTGAAATTAAGTTAAGGTGACCTGCTGATCACCAGCCTGCTGACACAGACCGGAATTAGAAAGTTAATCCTTCAGATATTTTAAGACAGGGACTTCTTGTGAAAGCTTTTCAGTTGATTGATCAATCCCTTCTAGAAAAGATACAAACAGAAAGAAGAGTTGAAAAAACAGTCTATTTTCTTGCTATCTGGTCTGGTCTTAAGTGTTTCATGGCTGGATATACAGATCTCTTGCACTATTGAGGCCTTTCTCTTTCAAATAGTGTTTTTGTTTTGTTTTGCTGTTTATTTACATTCTAAACATATAATAGTTTTTTTTCTGTTTTAATAAAACTCAATCATTAGACTAGGTTCAGTTTAGCAGTACAGTTGCATATGACAACATGAAAGTCCTCCTTGAACTTTTATTAAATTACTAGGCTTTTTTTTTTTTAAACTTGAGGCTAATACTTTTGAAAATTTGAATTTGTCATTACAAATCCATTGACCTGTGGTGCTATACAGCAAAATATTAGCTACGTTCAGATGCCTCACAGTCATCACTCATCAGTTATGAAGGTTAGTGCTACTGCTTTTTCATGACTAATTTTTAATGTCTATAGAAATCATTCTTACATATCAGTATTTCCTTACTTGCTACTTATAGAAGACTTTTTTTTATCTGTGTTGGATAGATTTTATAGCTTCACCTGGTATCTCTAGAGCTGCATTTACTACTACTATACTTGAGGAAAAGTGTAATTTATTTCTACTTTTTTCCTTTGTGCTTCAGTGCATTTGTTTGAGATCAGCAATTTTCCATAGCTGAAGTGTATTGACTTCACTGAAAACTTGCAGAACATTCATGGAGATGAAATGGTTTAAATCATGTTATAAGAAGATTAACTAAAGCAAGTACTGGAGAAGCATACTTAAATGTAACTCCTTGCAACAATATTTAAGATGTGAAAGGAGCAGAATTAGATCTGCACTCATAATAAAAGATCTGTCTCTACCCTTACTCAACTGGTAACATTTTTCAAGTGTCTTTTGCAGAGATACATTTGGCCTTAGTATTTTTCTGTGCATTCTGAATATCTATGTGTGTCTGTATGTGTATGCATACAAACATTTTAAGTATAATCATAATTTTCAGCTGGGTGTCAGATTGCTCACAGCAAAGAGATACTGACACCACATGATCTATGCTGCCTTTTGATGTGGGTATACTGTGAAGTCGAGTGAGGACCACTGCATTATAGTATTTAACAACATAATCGGCAATAAAGATTTTTTTAGATTAAATAAATTGAATATTCACTGTGAAGTTTGCCTGTGGTAATGAGCAGAGCGTTTATTTTTGGCAAAACGAATTGTGGTAGGATTCTGTATATACAACTTTTGTGCATCGTTGTATAAAATGATCGGGGGGTTTGTCCATTGTACAAGATACAACAGTGCTTAATCGTAAACTGGGAGGCTGGAGGCTCATAGAAAGTTAAAAATACAGATCTTGATCTTTTTTATGGGGAAGAATAGAATTTAATTTCACAGCTTTGGCAGAGGGGTATTTTGACACCTCACAGAGAGATGTGAGAATGATAGGTGTAGTGAGTGATAAGTGATTGGACTTCATGGATGGTGAATTAAATGGTGGGAAAGGGATAATGAAAAAAAAAAACTTGTTCAGCAATTTTGAGGAAAAAGCCAGACTAATTTAAGTAAGGCTATCTTTCTTCAACTATTAACTCTTTATAGGAGAGTAACAAGCCTACTTTTACCTCCTAGATGAAAGACAGTGTTAAAAACTGTCATAGTTCCAAAATTCACAAAATTTTGAAGGCAAAGATCAAATTTCTGATAAAACATAACATTCTAATAATTAACATGTAACCCTGTATAAATAATCCCAAGTTATGACATCATGCCATCATTGGCAAAAGGTACCACGAATGCTTTTATTTTCTTTCGATACTCTTGTACTCATTTCAGGTTCTTGACTCAGGTTTTGCTTAAGAAGGAATTGCTACTTTTGAAGTACACTTTTAAGTGAGGACGAAGAAATAAACACAACATTGATGATGATGATGTATTAACTACTTTTATGCCTGTGTTTTTGTAGAACATGCAGATTTACTGGGACCTTGCCCTGAAGATGAAGCTATCAGTCCTGGGGATGAGTGTATGGATGCAGTGCTAGATGAATCGCTTCTTGAAACCTGTCCCATCCAGTCTCCACTGCAAGTTTTTGCAGGAATGGGTGGATTGGCTCTCATTGCAGAGAGACTCCCTATGCTTTATCCTGACGTAATTCAGCAAGTGAGTGAAAAAATAAGTGCAGAAAAACAGGCTAAGAGTGTGTTCTTTGTTTAAGGACAGTATTTCCCTCATATTTTTCTATGGTTCAGTTTGATGACTCAGTTATGTGGGGAAGCTGCTTTAGAATAGGCAAGTGCGTAACTCCACAGCCCAGTCCAACTATACATGCTGCTTCTCTATACATATTATAGGCTGCTTGAGTACCCATGTCTTTGTGAAACAAATGCACAAATTCAGTGTTGCTGCTTGCCTCGCTTCTGTTAATTCATAAGATACCTTGGAGGATGCAGTGACATGAAGTGGCTGATGTACTATAAAGCCATACTTGCTTATCATTTAATTGCTCATGTAAATATACCCTTGGAGGTTTTTTATTGTTAAGTGAAATTCAGTAGTCAAAGCAGATTATATACTTCTATTTTGGATTTATTATTCTAAATAATTAATAAATGTATAATCTTAATTATATTTATAATCATAAATAACCTATCTAAAATTAAATTATATAATAAATTGTAAATATGTTGTTTATTTGTATGCTTATAATTGTGTATAGTGTGAATCTCTCTGGATAGGCTTTTCAAAAGTGTCAGTAGTAGTATTAGTGTGGAATTTCTCCTTTGGCTGCTGTTCTAGGTACACAATCTTTATTAAAAAGGGAAAAAATAGCCTGCGAATTATTCAAATTCTGTTTGGCTATATAATTCAAAAATTTGGATGATACTCCTAATAGAAAAGATTGTGAATATTTATTCCCTTTGAAATTAAGTTAATTATGAGTTAAGGGTGCTGTTCAGTACCCTGACTGCAGAACTATGGCAGGAGTAGGAGCCCTGTAGTGAGACCGGGTAAGTAGTATGAATCCTTTGTAACTAGTTCTGCAGAGACATTTTAGGGGTCTAATATCAAGCCTGTTCAAAAATTAAAAGTCAAGAGAATGTGTTCACATAAACAATTACTGTATTTTGCATTCCAAGAGAGATAACGTGTACTCTGTATTGAAGAAGACTGATTCATTCAATTCTGCAACAGATAAAAGGCAACTTATAACTACGAGAAATTTCATCCCTTTTTTATTTCTTTTTCTATAGTCCTGGGAAGTTATTTTCTTTTCACAATTTTTTAGCTTGAGAGATAAGTTTGGATTAAAATACTGAATAAGAATTCTATGATCCATAAAAAGAAATTAAGTACAGTAATACCAAATAGAAGATTCAGAGTGAAAACTGATTAATTCTCCAGACTTTTCATTCCTTAATTTTACTTTTATGTTTCTCTAGGTCACTGATACTTCTGATTCTGTAAACTCTGTATTTTAGTATTTCCTTAATTATTCTCTTAAATCTTAGATGATTGGAATAAATGCAGCTAAACGTGGCTTTGACTTTTAATTAGGAATTTGGTATTCTGAATAAATTCTGCAAGGGCTTTTCAGATTAATCTTTTACAGATTAATTACAGATTTAATCTAAACTTCAGATCAGTCTGGTGATAAATACTAAAATTTTAAATACGATTGCATCAGTTCATCTGAAGAGCATAAAAGCCTGAAACTTCTGTGATGTTTTATTATGAGAGGAACCTGGGTGTCATACCTTCATTTTAACCAAGTATATGCTGAGTATATGACTGTTTTCTGGGGAATTATACAATTGTTATCCCCCTTAAGCTCTGATTCCCATCATAATGCCTGGCTGCATAGTCCTCTGTGCAGTGTTAGTTTATAAAATAGAACTACGGACCATTGTGTTAGAGTATAGTAGTAATTAAAGCATGCCAAATCAATCAAAAGCCTGGAATGAGCACATGAGTTGCTACAAGACTGCTAAGATACCCAAATTTCTTCTTAGTTCTTAAAGGTATTATCATTAATTGTTCTCCTTTTTATAATATGTAATTAAAGATTAACCACAGTTAATTCACACTGTTTAATGTTAAAAATAAGAGGGCCATTTCTTAATTAACAGTATGATAATCAATACAAAGATTAGTTTGTATATTTCTGTGTAATGTGTCTCCTATGCCTCTAGATTTTAAGTAACACATTTTTAACTAAGGATTTTAGGTTGGCAAAATACAGTTGCTTGCTTGTGTAGGTGAGACTTTCTAGAACTGTATTAGAAATGCAACAAGTATGCCCTTTTTAGCCATTTAGCCTGGTCCCCATATCTGTAAACCATAGTGTATTTCATGTGACTTTTTAACGGTGTCCTACATTAAGATTGTATGTCCTTTAGATCCTAATTTTAATAAAATTTTTGCCTAGGTCATTAACTGAATGACTACCAAATTTTTTTGTTGTTTTTGTTGGTTAAGGTGAGCACTCCCGTGGTTACATCGACCACACAGGAAAAGCAGAAGGACAGTGATCAGTTTGAATGGGTTACCATTGAACAATCAGGGGAATTGGTGTATGAAGCACCAGAAACAATTGCTGCAGAACCTCCACCGATCAAGTCAACGGTTCAGACTATGTCTCCCATACCTGCACATTCTTTGGCTGCCTTTGGTTTATTTCTTCGTCTCCCGGGCTATGCTGAGGTGCTGCTAAAAGAACGGAAACATGCTCAGTGTCTGTTGAGATTGGTGTTGGGAGTTACAGATGATGGTGAAGGAAGTATGTGCTGCAATTATTATGTTTCTTTGTAGACCACGGCTAGATCATTTTACTTAAATTTATTTACACTGTAATGCTTTTAGCAGGAAGTTAGAATTGATTCGTGCAGAACTGTGTTGCATCTTTGATAGTCTGTCTCTGAATATTAAATTCTGCCTGGCAAAGTTTTGTCACAATCATCAGTATTCAAGGATTCTCATCTAAATGTCAGAGTAATTGTAAAATAACTGCTGATAAAACTTACAATGACACTATCAAGATGACTGCGCTCAGACAGAACGATCTGAATAGCTAGGTATGCTCAACTAATTGAGCAAATGTCATATAATTCTGCAACCAAATGCAGAATAATATGGATAGGACCATAGCTACAGCAGATGTAGAATAAACTGTTGATTGATACTGTTTTAGAAAAGGAGAGAAAGATCATAGTGATGAAATTAGCTGAGCAGGAGCTCTACCTTAATGATGTGAGTTTCAGAGGGAGAAATGGAGTATTCTTCAATGAGTGAACAGATGAGCTGAGAGACAGTTTGTAGTCAGTGTCTTTGCAACCAAACCTGGAATTCTGTACATAGTTCTCACATTTGTACTTTTTAGTGTTTTGAAAAATTGGAAGAGTGTGTGTTGATGTTTTAGTACTTTTAAGGCATTTCCTTTCATTATGACTTTGAAAAGAACACTATTTTTTCTATGCAGCAATCAACTGAAGTTAGTCTATATTCAGCAGCCTATAGAATGGTGAAGAAACTAAGAGTCTTGTTTACCTTCCCTTCTGTTTATGTTTCTATTTCTCTTATATTTAGGTACAGGACAGTAGACAAGAGTAAACTGGATAACAAAAGAAGTCAGTCTGGCTGCTTACTCCCACCTAATCTGAGTAGTAATTAACTGAAAGACTCAGATTTTTATGTCCTTGAGTGGTTCCAGTCCCTTGCTATTATTGCAAACAATTTTATATCCCTTTTTATTTTTTTTTTATAGAGAGACCAACTCTCAAAGCCTTAAAATTTGGGTTGTGGGGGCTTTTTTGTGTATGTGTACCCACTATTGCTATTGGAATACAGTTCCAGAACATAATTTTCCTGATGGGTGGGGGCTGCTTTAATTTTCAGCCTACATTTATTCATAGCCAGTTTGTGCCCATTTATCATTGTACCAGCATTGTTCCTCATCATAAATAGCTCTTCTTTCTCCAATGCATTTGTTGACAGGAATTGCATTGCCTCTTAGCCTTTGCTTTTGCTGGACTAAACAGTCATTTTCTCCATTCCCTAAGCCAGATGTCTGAATTCTTTATGAAATGTGGGATCATTTGTACACGGTAGTCCATACTAGTTCTCTGTATAAAGCATTAGTATTTTCCTTTTCTTTTGGAAATCCCATCTTTTCATATACCTAGAATCTCTTTATTTTCTTGCATAATATGAAGGGTTGCACTTATAAATCCATGGCTTATAGATTAAACATGGATTCAGTTGTCTGTGAAAATAAATCATGGGCAAATGTTTAGATTTTCTTTTTTTTTTGTCATCTTGTCCTTTTGCTACACCTGCAGTTCTGGAAGTCTATCAGATGGGATTTTTTCCAGAGCTGTTCAATTTTATTTATGAAGATCCCAGTCAGAGGACTTTTTGTTTCCTTCTTGTTGTCTTTACAAAGAGTATCAGATAGATATGAATTAACTTGCGTGTGTATGCATGTGTGTGTGTAGATACATATACATACAAATATAGATATACATATTTGTAATGTATATCAGTTTAGACCTCTGCATAATGATACAGCTGATAAACTCTAAGAATGAGGGAGAAAATAGTATAAATATATTTAAAATAAGAAGCAAATGTCTGAATAGAGTTGATTGTTTTGAAGTATTTTCAGTTGTTGGATATCTCTAGTTAAATATGCACTGGGAAAAGAATGTGAAATGCATTGTTAGATACAGAAAAAATTGAGACAGTTTCCCAAATCTGAGCATGCTGCATTAATAGGACACTCTGTTATTTGAAATGTGGCTTTTAAAAGAAGTAATTTTTGCTCATAATGCAAAAGGGTTAAAAATTTAAAATAATTCTACTACAAAATTCAAACATGCAGCTCATGTAATTAAAATTGTGTTAGTATTTCACCATGTATTCAACTTGAATAGCATCACAGCTTGAATTGTGTTAGTGACTTCACTCCCACTTAGGAATTTTTTTTCATATTCCAACATCCTGATAAATTACAGCTCTTTGTCAGCTGAGGTGCTGTTAGCTGACCATGTGCATTCTTTAACTTGCTGTAGCTGGAATGTTTAAAAAAAAAAAAAAATACTAGTCTAAACCACCTTCATTTTCTTCATTCAGAAATACAACCTGAAGTGTAGTCAAATACAGAAGTATACTCACTATTATTCACAAACTAAGTTTTCTCCCTGGAAATGGTGAATCAGATTTTATAATTTTCGCTCTTAACCAAATCCACAAAGGAAATAAAGAGACATTCTTTCTTCTACACTCTTCTCCAGCTGAATTTTTTTTTTATGAAGAGAGGCCTTATATCAGATAGCTTACTATATGCGAATGCTTAAGTCCTTAACATTAACAGATGTACAGGCTGTATTGAACTATTAAAAGAAAATGTCGGTTTGATACTTTTCTTCTTCAATCTAGGTCATATCCTGCAGTCTCCTTCAGCAAACGTGCTTCCAACTCTGCCCTTCCACGTGTTGCGCAGTTTGTTCAGTACTACACCGCTGACTACTGATGACGGAGTACTGCTTAGGCGCATGGCGCTGGAGATTGGGGCTATACATCTTATCCTTGCTTGTCTGTCTGCTCTAAGCCACCATGCACCAAGGGTGCCCAGCTCTAGTCCCAACCAGGCAGAGGTAGGTTTAGCAGCGGTATAATTGCCACTGAAAAGCAGTAAGAGTTTTAACTATAAAAAAGAAAATAATCTCCATGCTTTCATTATTGTCTAATTCCTGCAGAGTTGGCATTTGAATGAAGAGCAAAAATAATTAAGAAGTACTTGTTTAAGTAATTGTCCTTGCATATTGCAAATAAACATAACCAACAAAGAAGGCTTGTCAGGAGACATTAAGGTGTAATCAGTTTCTTTCACAGGACCTTCTTTTTCAGTCCATGAGAGGCATAATGCTCAATAGAAGCTGGTGGTTTAATCCTCATTAGATAGCGTGACCTCATTACCTTATTTAGCATTCATCATCTAAACTCTACTGACTGCCTAGTATTTCCTCTTAAATGCGTCACAAATATAAATGAGTTGTGAAAATTAATGAATTAATGCAGTGATTATTTTAATCCCCTTTTTACTAAAGAGGAAATGAGATCCAAAGACAAAAATTTTCCGTAGCATTCCAGAATCTCCAAAACTAAACTTTTTCAAAGTACTTACTATATTAAACTACCCTCTATTCAGAACACTATCCCCGTATTTTTTTTTTAGGATTATGAGTTGACGTTTCTGCATAACATACCAATTGTCTGTAAAAGTGTTTAAAAAAATTCATTACTTTCCCTGTTTAGCATCTTTGTGGTAGAGGCTTGCATGAAAAAGTTCGTGGTGGCTAAATATGGCTAAGTAAATGCAAAATATAGGGTTGTCCATATTTTAGCAGCTCTGGTACTGATGACAGGTTGAGCAAAGAAGAGATGAAGCTGTGCATGAGAATAATTCACTTTAATGGCTAGTCAAATTTAAGGGAAAGCTGAGATATTCTGCTCCTAATGGGGTATCAGGCTGGTGACACATTAATGCCTTAGCATTATTGCGCTTTTGGAGGGAAAGGGCAACCATTAATTTTTATCTCTGCTTCAGTTCTACCATGACCCCTTAAACAGCTTGCTTTCTCGTAATTCGTATCTCTCAGGTGGTAGATGGTAACTTGAAACTAGAGATCTATCAGGCCTGCACCAAGGCATGTATTTCTGGGGCCAGGTTTTCCCTTAAGTGCTTTAAGTCAGTGCTCATGACAGTCCTCTTGAGTGTTAAAGGCACAGCATGTTCATGACATGTAATGAGTAACGTCTGCATGAGAATAACCACACGGCTATTTCATCACCGAGATGCATTACACTCCCAATGTAAAAGTTAAACGGTGATTCTAGACTACTGTCAGTAGGGTGCTTCACAGGTGATAACTTTTTTTTACCATTGCAATCTGTTCACACATAATTTAATTTCCTTCGTGTATAATCCTGAACAAAGTCACTGAAGAAGACCTGAACAGAAATTGCAAGTTTTCAGAGCCATAAATCAAATATTACAAATTAAATTTGGGCACGAACTCACACGACCTGGTTTCCAGTAAGGCTAATTGTCACTGAGTAACTCTGATGTAACTCTGATGAAAGTAGCAAGTGTTTATCCCCTCAGAAAATGGGGTCACTTGTTTAGGGTGCTAAATATATAATTAGAAAAGCGTTAGTTAAAAAATGCTTGTCAGAGTTTTTTCTGCATCCTTTTTGCCCAAGATCCAGTAAACTTTCAAAATTAGCATAACTACTTAAATAGTTTCATAAGGGCTAAGCAATATAATATTGGGATTATGTTAGTAAAATGCAGTGATGCAGACCATTGGAAAAAGGTGTACAAACACCTTTGGAAAAATGCTACCTCTCAGAACATTTTAAGGACAAGGTATTTCCCCCTTATTATCTGGAGATGAAGTAGTGTGCATTTCAGTGACCATCAGAGATGTCTGAGCTATACGTGTAACTTAGACCTCTTGCCATTTTGGAGCACTTATTCAAAATCAGCACATACTTGAGCATCTTAACATTTCAGTTGTGTACTTTTGAGGACATTTCTACTTCCATTTGCTTCATCTAATTATACTATTAAACTCGACGAGGTGTTAAACAGTAACAATTACAGAGCTGTGATGTTTAGCATGATATGGATTAAGTAACGTTTTAATACCTTTAATCATTTAAGCAGTGACAGTATCTTAAAAGAGAACAAAAATGGGCTTACAGAAGAATCACTTGGAACAATTTAGTGCTGATCTGTACTGGAACTCTATGTGTCAGAGCCTTTCCTGTCTAGAGCTTTGAATTCCCCTGAATCCCAACAGTATCTTTATTAAGTTAATAAATTGGGATTACTTTCTTTTGCAGAACAAAGGTTTTCTAAAGAATTGGTTCATAAGATGAAAAAAGTGAAATTTGTTGTTGGTTTTTTTTTTTATTTAACTTAGCCACAGGTGTCAAGTACACACAACAGTGCATCAACAGAAGAACAGCAGTTGTACTGGGCTAAAGGTACAGGCTTTGGAACAGGCTCCACAGCTTCAGGATGGGATGTTGAACAAGCCTTGACTAAGCAAAGGCTAGAAGAAGAGCACGTGACCTGCCTTCTACAGGTGTGTAATAATGAAATTTTGATTAATGATAAGCACTTGAAACATTAGAACCTAGATAATAAAAATCGAACTTGTATTTTTTTCAGTCATATAGCACAGTAATTAAGGTCTTTGGGGAAAAAAATTAGTTTATGACTGCCTGTCTAGATGAAAAATGGTATCGATCGTATTTTGAGTGAGACTGTTTTCAAACGTCAGTAGGCTGCTGCATAAAAAAGACCTGAGTGGGTAAGCCTGGGTGACAGTTCTGAATAGACCAACCAAGAAGCATTCGAGTATACTTCCCTGGAGCTGTCATATATCTCTGCAGACATAACTGCATTCAGTCAAAAGTAAAGACTGTCCATTAAAGGAGGAGGATGTGGGAACAGGCATTTTGTTTTTTGTGCTAAATAATCTTACCTATTCATTTCTCACATACTTTTGCTCTGCTTCAAGAAAATGCCCATAGTTGTTACTGGTGTCCATGAATGTGTTATGCCAATATAACAAAATCTCACTCAGACATACTATAAAATCATGATATGTGAATTAAATAACAATAGTAAATCACCAGTAAACATCCAGATCTCGGTAAAACTCTGATGCCTTCCAAATGCCTCATGCTAAGGAGAAGAAAATCCTGCATAATTAAGCTTTTCAGACCATCGTGAAGTGCGACCGACCCCTGTTGTCTTAGGTCAGTGTAGGATAGTCAAAAATTTCATTCACAGAACTGCCAGCTCAAATGCATTAGCTAACCTCACTACTGGGGTAGAGCACAAAGGAGATGAATTTCTGCAAATGCCCGTGCCCTGACTGATGAAGATATTTTGAAGTAATCAGTTATTCCAGTCACTGTAGATTACAAGGCACAAGTATCATGTCCCTTACAAAAGCAAAACAAATAAAAATCTGAAACAATCTTCCTAAGTAAGAAAGAGGAAAATCACCTGAAGTACTCTTGGTGTAGCTTCTAGGCAGTATTCTATATTATGCCATTAAGAGGTTTAGCTAGAACTGTCCTAAGTCATAAGTAAGGAGGCATTTGCTGTGGGCAGTTAGCAATTGTGGGAAGAAGAAGAAAACTGTTCAGCATTTTGCCAAAGATGTCAGTCAGATGTATAGCAGATTCTGCCTGGTTCCTTCTCTAGAAAGGTGGTTTAGAAAAATTCTGTTGTACGGAGTGCTGATAAGATGCTGCAGCAAAATACTATGGGTAATGGGGTTACAGCAAAGAGGGAGAATGAAAGAAAGGAGAAGAGGCTAAAAAGGTGATTAGAGACCCTGAGACTTCAAATAATACAGCCTTTCAAGACTTGAAGTTAGTTAATTTGAGAGTACAACTGCGCAGATCAGACCTATGGAAGTGCATTAGGCTGTGCATCTACAACACAGGGTAAGGGCCTGTGAACGCAGCGAGAACTTCCCTTGGGACAAGCAAGTGTGCAGTTGTGAGCCAACTCCCCCACTGTCACGCAGGGGAAGGTTGCTCATTCTTTACTGAAGGAAGAGCTGTGCTCAGGAGTGGTTGTTCCAAGTTACTCTCATGCTCACCATAAGTTGTTTTTTCATCTGTAAACCCTGAAGTCCCATCCAAAAGGAAGTTGCAAGTTTTTTTAAAACATTTTCGGTTTAAGAAAGAAAAATCTTTTTTTGCTAGTGGGTGTTCTGAAGAGAATGGGACTGATCAGCTGCGTGTCTCAGTGGTGTGAGCTGGCAAAATCCTGCTTTGAGTAACTCCATCATTTTTGTCAAAATTCATATTAATTCATCTCTTAAAGTAGTTCAGAATTACAGTAGCTATTTAAATTTAGCATTAACCAAAGTTAGAATAATAATCTAAAAAATGTATAGAATTTCTTCTGACAGATCTTTGAGACTGCTGAAATAAATACCAATACTGAATTAGCAAAACAGCTAGTGAAGTATTATCATGCCTTCCTTAAGGAAGGAAAGTCAAAGTTCTTTTGTCTAAAATAAATGGAGTTTGATTAAAAATTTTTGTGTATTTCAGGTTCTTGCCAGTTACATAAATCCTGCAGGGACTACATCAAATGGAGAGACCCACAGTAGCCATGAGGGGAGAGGACAAAACAGCAGTGCTCTTCCATCCGTTCTCCTAGAGCTACTCAGTCAGTCTTGCCTCATTCCAGCAATGTCGTCATACCTCCGCAACGATTCAGGTAATGTGCTATTGTCTGCTTCTAAATCGAAGTTGGATTACTTCTGTCAAATAAGCTTTTGTATAAACAATGGGTAGTTCTGGCTAGTTTCAGTACATTTGCGAATTTAGAATTGTACTAATAGAACATTAACTTGAGCCTTAGAAAACAAAATTATAGTATTCATTGAAACACTCATTTCTTGTAAGAGTTTAAACTTTGTTGTTCTAATGTCGTTTTTAAATGTGAAATTTAATCCTTAAACTGTTGACATTAACAGGAAGATAGTATTTCTATCTGAAAAGTTTGTATTTTAGTTGTTCTGTAGAAGGTACATGAGAGAGAGAGTATACAACACCATCAATCTTACTGTGAAGAAAAATGTTAATTTTGTGGGAAAATTGAGCAGGTATATGCATGAAGTTGGTAAATGTTGCATGTGTTAGGGCAGTTCTCTTTTAATTTGATCAGAGCTTTTTCTGCTTTATTTGGGAAATATAAAAATAAGCCTTTTACCAAAACTGCAAAATACTTCAAATATATGGGAACAATGAAAATGTTGGGCTTTTTTTAAAGGAAGAACAAATTAGTTTTATGTTGTCATCACATTTCTACTCATAATGAGAAAACAAAGACGTTTTAATAGTTACATCCAGTATGTTGTACAACTGAAATGGTTTTCGCAGCAAGGTACAAGGTAGTGTCAAGCACTAGGAGTTAAGCAAATGCCTCTGTGGAACTAATGGCAAAACCAGCAGAGTGGGTTTGTGCTTTATGTTCAGTCTCACTGGATGACGGGCTTTAATACAAAGATATTGATAAGCCTTTTTTCTTCAGATAACTGTCAGCCTGAAGTTTTTAAACACTGCCTTAGCCTTAGGGTGAATTTTTGTTTAGTTCGCTTGTAAGGATGAATGTAATCCCTAAGTAGCTGAGGGAATTGTTCAGGATCGGAATGATTTGGTCTTGGACCCTTATTTTGCTTGCCCTATTTTTGGAGTAACTGCTAAATGTCTTGTCACATTACTGCAGTTCTTTTGAATGCCAGTTTTAGGGTGTGGTGATGTGAATTTCTTGAAACAATGTCATAGCTTCTTGTTGAATTATCCAGTATATTTTATCTGCGGGGTAAGAGAGAAATCATCTGTATCAAGTATTTACAAAGCTACATAGAACTAAAACAAGAACGTGACTCTCTTAATCTGTGCTAACTAGGGTATTACATAATCTTGTATGGAATGGAAGTAGTTCAAAAAGTCTGCTGGGGCCTTATAATAAAAACAAAAATATGAAGATTTTTCAATTGCCAGCCCACAGTTTGACACGTCTCCCTAATTTTGCAATGAATTTGTTCATTCTATTTTGCACATACAACAGTGAGGAAAATGGAACTCTGTAGTTTATACACCAGGCTCATTACTGCGAATGAAAATCTAATGTAAAACAAAGTAAAACAATAAAGTAATCTTTCTAGCAGATACTCATCAATTCCTCTTTGTTGAGGTAGAAAGGAAAAGTCACTGAAGGACCTGGCAGAAATGGTATGTTATCTAAAGGATGAAGCTGTTGATTCTGAGTTATAGATCAATCTCAGGTGTTGAAATTGCTTTTTGCTGTTTTCAATGGGAAAGTGGCTGTGTAAGTCACCTTTTAACTGGGGAAGAACAGTCAGATACTGATAGAAAAGATGAGCGATGCGACTGGTGGAGAAAAGTTCAGACTCGTTTGGCTTTCAGGAACCATTTGTTTTACAAAGTACAAAGAAAAGGCCAAGTTTCAGTGCAAAATGTTCATTTTTGGTGTGTTTTCCACTGCTGGACTACTGTTATTTGTGGTTGGCAGGCGATGTTCGTATGTTGTGCTGGTGAACTAAAAATTAGTAAAGAGTGAACAGAGCAGATACTTCCTGCTTTTTCATAAATGGATCTGTGGCTCTTAATGTAGCAGCGTTGTTGTGCTTAATACGTTGATCTAAGCTATAGTCTTGAATGCTTCCTGCTGTATTTGTTCAAAATTCTATACATAAACCTGTAATTAACAATGTTCTTCTGGATTAAAAAGAAATAGCTTTGCAGGGTTATATCAGTCAAGCTTGTCTTTGAAAATGTAATAGGATATCAGTATGGGAGGGAAATGTGCAAAAAAGCATGACTTCTGGAAAGAATGTCTTCTCTTCATGAATATTTGAGTCAGATGCGTTTAGTTTGAAAGGAGTTGCTAAAAATAGTTTGTCTCAGTGATAGCCAGGCATAATTCCAATGCAGTAATTACTCTTTAGTTCAGAAACAGACAAATAACTCTCACATTAATGAGTCTTGAGTTGCAGGTGATGCTGGGGCTCTCTCTGTCACTAACAGTGGCAGGAGACACGGCTGACAGAGGGCCTGCCTGTCGCGGGAGAGACAGGTTGAGAAGCTCTAGAGCTATGTTAAACTCTGGTACATGCTCATAAGGCTGAAAGTTCCCCATCTCCAATAGGGCTGAATGCCTACTCAGGGCGGGCAGGAAAGGGAACAGCGTTATTAGTAACGCTCATGTACATGGTCTTCTAGTTTTCAGACCAGTGTACCTTCTGCTATCAAAACATACTTTCATGTGGAAGAAGCAGGTAACTATTATTTCTACAACAAGCTGGACTAAGAAATTAGCATTCTGTATGCAGTGTCCTAATAGAGTGTTCCTGGGTTCTGGCACCCCAGCAGGTACAAGGTGTGCCGCATAATGCTGACAGAAAATAGCAATTTTTAGCAACTCTAACTTTCTCAGACTTGGATGGATGTTAGTGATACCAGTTAAAGGGTTTTCCTTATGCTGAAGGTATTCCTCTACTATATTTTTGTTTTTTTCACATATTACATATCTGCCATATACATAAAATTACATGGGAAAAAATTTCTATAAAGACATATAATATGCAGTGAAGCTGCTGTGTGTGCTGTTTCCCTTTATTGCACTGGGTAGGCTGATACCACTATGGTGATACAAGATAGTAAGTATTTTGGTATTAATGAGAATTCTGTATTTGGTTTAAACATACTCAGTTAGCTACAGGTATGATATGTCCTGCTTGCAAAGTTGTTTTGGCAAAATTCTTGAACAGTTCCAGTATCAGAATGTAAAATTGGCCTTTGTCACAGTTAAAAATTTATCTAGGTTTTTTTTTGCTTAAATATGTTTTGCCATTTCTGCTCAATTTGCCCAAAACATACATGGATAAGGTGGTTATCTAGATTCTTCTAGATAAAAGGAATATTGATCAGGTAAGGAGTGCTCACATACTTTTAATCTTTTAGAAACCTCACCTTGAAGCAGATCTTTACAAACCAGTTTGCTTTGACACATTCTGCAGCTTCGTCTGCGTCAGAGCAAGGTGATTGTGAAGTGCTTGAAAATTGTGAACTGACCAGTTTCATTAATTTCTGTAATTGCTTTTTTCTTGTAGGGAA